TAATGCCTCGCATCGGGCCAGGGGACGGGAAGGGGGGGGGGGGGCTGTAGGCTGTAAGTGGCTTCACTCCTGGCCATCCGGTGCCAGCAGGCCCAACGGAAGACCATCGTTTGGTGCCAATGTGACGAGGGGAGATACTCCGTCAGTCAACCGCTTCTTTGACAGGGGAATGCTAGCTGCGATAAAGTTTGGCCCAATTCCGCACGTCCGAAGACGAAAACAGTTTAACACCGCACCGAGAACCATGCTCAGATATGCCGCATGCGTGTATGCACACATTCAGAACAAAGAATACGGTTTTGAGCCCAAAGCCCCCCCCCCCCCCCTCCCCATGGACCAAACCGGTGCAACAAAGTAAATATGTAGTAACGAATACTCACCCAACATGTTTTAGCCGTGCGGCTCAGTTCAAAAGGAATTTAGACGTCGTGCGCACAGAAAATAGACCGTACCCACAATGCCATGCAACAAAGCACAAACCAACCTCCGGGAAATGCGCGCGAATCAGCAATCAGTTAGCAAGCCCATGATACAAAGCTGACAGAGCGTTCAGGAAACAAGACAAAATTTTTCGAACAACACTTCCCCTTGAGCCATCAGTTTACAATTGAATTTAAGTGTGAGGTTCAAAGGACAATCAATAATGATATCATTACTGATTGTCCCTTCAGCCCTATTGTCCCTACGTTATTCATCTGTTACTTGTCCTTAACCTTTAGCTATTAAGCTAACCAATAGGTTTAAATGCCAAATGTCACTGCGTGTTCAAATGCCAAATGTCACTGTGTCGTGAGGCGGCTGTGAGGCGGCCTGTTTAAACGGCGGCCTTTCCCCACGGAATCACGATACACGTTTTTGAGTATGACATAATCATCTGGGGCCCGTTCGGCAAGCTGGACCAGCAGCAGCTGGAGCGGGTTCAACAATGAGTCACGCATCTTGTCGATGGGGTGCTGCACCGACCATATCCTGAGAGGCTCCCACTCGTCTGACTGCCCTCGCTGTACTTCCAACGCCGCACGGGAGACATGGTTGCAGCGTTTGAAATATTTCACGGAGACATGTCCCTATCAGCGGAGAAGTTCTGACACGACACAACTCGGAGGTGACAGAGGACAACGACGGAAGCTGAGAAAATCTCCAGCTGGGACTCTCGTCCGTTGAAACCCGTTCAGACCCCAGGTTGTAAATGGTGGAACACTCCTCCACCTGCAGTGGTATCGTCAAACCCGTTCAGACCCCGGGTTGTAAATGGTGGAACGCTCCTCCACCTGCAGTGGTATCGTCAAACCCGTTCAGACCCCGGGTTGTAAATGGCGGAACGCTCCTCCACCTGCAGTGGTATCGTCAACCTCAGTTCAGCATCTGAAATCCAGGCTCGACATATACAGGGCTGACACCATGTATGCCATCCCACAACGATCACATGCCTAACCTTGCGATTGTTCCGTTACCTGAAAAAGTAGCTTGAGGAGACCAGAATCGACAGGCCAAGAAGCCCTTTTAAATTCCCGATCGCCATAAGGAAAGGTAAAGCAAGGTAAGAAGTCCAGTTTCACGGCATGCATAAGTGAGGGCCAACGACAAATCCGTGTCATATTCCAGCTGCCATAACCGAAGTCGTGGGAGTGCGTAGAGTCTTCAGTAAGCCTGCCAGGCCGCGGCACGCGACTGGGGAGGCTGAAGGCAGGGGGAAGCAGAGGAGCGGGACTGTCTCGGCCTGCCGTCAGAGGCGCACTGTCAGCCAGTTTGTTGTTGGAGGGTGCGCCGGCGTCGTGGCCGCTCTGCGCCCAGAAAGCCGAACCCTGTAGTCACACTTCCGTTGCGCGCGATAAATATTTACCCCGGCGACGACACGTGCGATGGATCGGAGGGCCGCTGGCGACGACACCTGGCCACGGCCAGATCGCAGCCGCGCCGTCGGAAGCGGCCACACCCACTGCGACGTGGGACCAGTCCGGTCGGCTGCCCGTCAGCCGGCCAGTGGACCGTGCTGCAGGGTAACGTCGATGCCGTATGATGCCTCGAGGCGCTGACCGCCGGCGAGCCCGACGGCGTCCGAGGGAGGGCGCGCGGGCAGGCCTGTCGCGGCGGTGCCGCCTAGCCGGGACCGACACACACACACACACGCATCTGGCCGACAGGAGCGGCCAGCCTCGGGGGAGGCTCGCGGGGAGGTCTGTCACAGTGCGCTACGGCAGAAGCGGCCGGCCTCGAGGGAGGCACGCGAGGAGGTTTGTTGCGGCGGTGCCGCCTCGCCGGGGCCGACACCACACACACACCGCCGGCGTCCGAGGAAGGGCGCGCGGGCAGGTCTGTCGCGGCGGTGCCGCCTAGCCGGGGCCGACACACACACATACGCACACGCACACGCACACGCACACGTACGCGCGCACACACACACACACACACACACACACACACACACACACACACACACACACACACACACACACACACACACACACACACACACACACGCACACGCACACGCACACGCACACGCACACGCACACGCACACGCACACGCACACGCACACGCACACGCACGCACATCTGGCCGACAGGAGCGGCCAGCCTCGAGGGAGGCGTGCGGGGGGGGTCTGCCGCGGCGGTGCCGCCTAGCAGGGGCCGACACACACACACACACACACATCTGGGCGACAGGGGCGGCCAGGCTCGAGGGAGGCGCGTGGGGAGGTCTGTCAGTGCGCTACGGCAGGAGCGGCCGGCCTCGAGGGAGCCGCGCGAGGAGGTTTGTCGCAGTGCGCTACGGCAGGAGCGGCCGGCCTCGAGGGAGGCGCGCGGGGAGGTCTGTCACAGCGCGCTACGGCAGGAGCGGCCGGCCTCGAGGGAGGCGCGCGGGGAGGTTTGTCGCAGTGCGCTACGGCAGGAGCGGTCGGCCTTGAGCGAGGCGCGCGGGGAGGTTTGTCGCAGTGCGCTACGGCAGGAGCGGCCGGCCTCGAGCCGCTCACCTCTGCAGCGTGGGATTACCAGTCGTTGATTAGTTTTGTTAGTTTCGGTCCAACAACAACCAGTTGGACCAAAACCAAGCAAAACCTTCATTTGTACGATGGATCGTATATTTAGATATGCCAGGTGGAGATATTTCGCTATTACGACCAAAATTGTGATGCATACACTGCCATAGGAATATGAGCATGGAGCTCGTGGGAAAATTCCTAAGGAATTGTCACTTGGCAGACATCAATCAATCAAATGTTACCTGGAATGACCCATGCTCCGTTCGCACCGGCTAACCCACCGGGAATCCGGTCACAAGACGATATTTCACGCCGGCCCTGATTACTTTGTGTACACAAACCAAGCCGCGTGAAATATTTGGTTCCCTGGGATGAATGCCCAATCAATCATGCGAACCACAATAAACGTGCCGATGCCGGCTGAGACCTGAGGTTCTCTCATGGTGGCCGGCACGTCCCGAAATAAACGCTCCACTCCGGACCTGGGCCGACGGGGTACTTTCCCTGTCCGGGTCAAGTCTAGACCGGGGCCCATCCAGGCCTGATACAGACGCATTGGGCAGATGAAGGTCAACACGAGCCGGTACAAGTCTGCAGAGTAGCCAGACCTAAATTGAATCGGCTCGGTCGCCGCTATATAGCACTAAACAAGACCGCTACTTGACAATCATAGGCGCCGCTTTCCAGACGTTGTCATCTTAAGTCTAGCCCAAAGCCTAAGGATGGTCCAGATGCCCGTCCAAAGAGTCCCCAAAATCAAGTTGTCCAAAATTTATCAGCTTCTACACCAAACAACTCCTGTCTGCAACCAATAACCCCGGTCACGTCACCAGCCAGTCACGTCTCACGTCGCTGCATTTCCTCGCTCGAATCGAATGAAAAGAAAGAGAATGATCGCGGACAAATAAGGTGCATGTGCATCACATAAGTTGAGATAGATACCAATTTGCGACACGGCAGAGTGATGTCGGCTGGCCACAAGATTCTGTACACGCACGCACACACACGCGCATACATATATGAGGCCCCTGCGGTTACTCTCCCCAGAGGTGTTCCATGACGAAAACGTTCGGAGGAGTCCGCTCCGTGACATTGTGTGATTTCAGTGCTTCTAAAGCAAGTCAAAATGTTCAGGGAAGGGGGTTGACAATGTTCCAGTGATTTGCTGGACACACCAGAGTGCCCTAACGCTGCTGTGGAGACCGTGAGAACCCTTTCCAACTGCGCCTGGACAGACGTATGTTGAAACGCTGCGAGAGTCACAGACTGGTGCTCGCGCCCCAACTGTGAGGAGGAAGGCAGGCACTCCCTGCCACTGATGCAGTCCCGGGCTTAACTACACTGCCCGAGAGCGTACAAGTTCGCTGTCTCCACAACCGGATGGGGTCAAGACGACAGTGACCGGCCGCTGTCGGGTGGGTTACCCTGCGACACCTCGGCGGTGGCGCCAACACTGACCGGCCAATGTCGGGTGAGTTCCCCGCGACACCTCGGCGGTGGCACCAACACTGACCGGCCGCTTTCGGGTGAGTTCCCCGCGACACCTCGGCGGTGGCACCAACACTGACCGGCCGCTGTCTGGTGGGTTACCCCGCGACACCTCGGCGGTGGCGCCAACACTGACCGGCTAATGTCGGGTGAGTTCCCCCGCGACACCTCGGCGGTGGCACCAACACTGACCGGCCACTGTCGGGTGAGTTCCTCCGCGACACCTCGGCGGTGGCGCCAACACTGACCGGCAGACTGTCGGGTGAGTTCCCCGCGACACCTCGGCGGTGGCGCCAACACTGACCGGCCGCTGTCGGGTGAGTTCCCCCGCGACACCACGGCGGTGGCACCAACACTGACCGGCCAATGTCGGGTGAGTTCCCCCGCGACACCTCGGTGGTGGCACCAACACTGACCGGCCGCTGTCTGGTGAGTTCCCCCGCGACACCTCGGCGGTGGCACCAACACTGACCGGCAGACTGTCGGGTGAGTTCCCCGCGACACCCCGGCGGTGGCGCCAACACTGACCGGCGGAGTGTCGGGCTGGTTCGGCTGGTACGCCGGCACTGGTGAGGGCGTCTGCTGGCGCAGCGGCGAGTAGGCGCCATGACGCGGGCTACCTGGCCCGCCCTTGGGCGATATCGTGTTCTGCAGGTCGGCCAGCAGCGAGTCTGAAACGTTCGAGCGCGGTCAGCCACGAGCGCGACAGGCAAGTACAACACGGCCGGCCGCGCCACGTCCAAGTCCACGTCCGCACTGCAGACCGGCCGCGCCGCCGGCGGGGCGGGGCGGGGCTGCCCTCCGAGCTATAGCGCTGGCTCGGAGTGCGCGGCACCCGGCCAGACCGGCCTGGATGCGTGCTGCGCTAGCCCGTCGCCGCCGGTGGCCACGGTTCCGGCCTCGGGGCAGGCTCAGGACGCTCCGGCACGGCGTGGGCACCGCTCTGGGACCAGAGGCGACAGCTATTTTGGGGCGTTTACGGCGCCGGCGTAAAGCCACTTCCTGTGGCTGAGTGGGGTCGGACGGTTGTGGGGCGAGTGTGCAGCGCATGGCGGCGGCGAGGAGGCCATATCCGCCCGGCTGCCCCACGCCAGGACCGAAATATCAACTAAACGTGACACGTGTCCAGCATGTTTAGTGCGGTGTCTGCAGCGGTCCATTGCCCCTCGCTCACTCCGGACCTCGAAGCACTGAGCGCTGCTGAGTGATCTATGACTCCCTCTCCGAGCCTGAAGCACTAACAGACTTTCATTTATAAGATTCCCGTCGCTGATTAGGCCACATAATTAAGTTGCGTTCGCAGTTTTCAGAGGCATTTTTTGAGACATTTTTTTTACTATTTCGTACATGTTGATGCCAACTGGACACATCAATGGTCAACGGCACATAAAAGTCACATCATACCAAACCCCTCCTTCGTGCTAGAGGCCATATGACATTCACATGCGGAAAAGCAGTCGTCTTATCAGGTACTTTCCACAAAAATGATTTATCCAGAGCATTGTTTATTTATAGATAGTAAATGCAACGTATTCCTCGGGGTGCTCTGAAACTACAGCGGTTGCCTATGTGCATATGTTACTGTTTCCATAAACATACACAGCACGGGAGAGAACGATTACCGTCTCCAGTAAACGTCCATACCTAGACCGAGACCAGAGCCGGTGGGTCCAGCGCTCATCGGAGCTCATACAAGCCCTAATGAGAGCAGGCCCCCAGCCGGGACTTGACCCTTGCAGCCCACGACAATTATGCCACCTTCCGCAGTGTTAGACAGGGAGGACCCCTCCTGATGCCACGTATGTTTGTTATATTTGTATTTGTTTGCCTTACCAAACAAATACAAATATAAAACGATGAAGTGGCGTCTATGCGATATACATATCACAGCCACGTTACATGTACTCGTGGTGATATGCAAATTACGCCGCGTCATCCCGTGGTATCTATGATGGTAGACGTATTAACCTATAAGATCGGGTCAAATGACGTCCCTTTACGTTTTTGCCGTCCATTAGTGGTTTCCTTTCTGATCATGCAGTACCACCCACGCGAGTTCGATCCTGAAGCGTGATGTGGGGTCACTCACGGACTGAAACAAACGTGATGTGGGGCCACTCACGGACTGAAACAAACGTGATGTGGGGCCACTCACGGACTGAAACAAACCTGATGTGGGGCCACTCACGGACTGAAACAAACGTGATGTGGGGCCACTCACGGACTGAAACAAACGTGATGTGGGGCCACTCACGGACTGAAACAAACCTGATGTGGGGTCACTCACGGACTGAAACAAACGCGATGTGGGGCCACTTACAGACCGAAACAAACGTGATGTGGGGTCACTCACGGACTGAAACAAACGTGATGTGGGGTTCACTCACGGACTGAAACAAACGTGATGTGGGGCCACTTACGGACTGAAACAAACGTGATGTGGGGTCACTCACGGACTGAAACAAACGTGATGTGGGGGTCACTCACGGACCGAAACAAACGTGATGTGGGGTCACTCACGGACTGAAACAAACGTGATGTGGGGTCACTCACGGACTGAAACAAACGTGATGTGGGGTCACTCACGGACTGAAACAAACGTGATATGGGGTCACTCACGGACTGAAACAGACGTGATGTGGGGTCACTCACGGACTGAAACAAACGTGACATGGGGTCCCTCACGGGCTGAAACATCACGTAGGTTCATTCCATGCCTCCCATAACCATGATCTTGGATCACACCGCGCCGATGATATTCACGCACCCCGGTGTATTTGTGTGCTGTGAAAAACCTTCTTGTTTACCTCAGACGGCTTCGAAAATATGTGCCCGTTTAAAATCTACCCCGAACGATCAATATACTAAAGCGATCTTCTCAATTGCTCCAGCTCATAAATTTAATCGATGGGTTACATGAACCGATGTAAGACGAACACAAAGTGTCTAAGCCTAAATCCAAGTAATTTTCCAACTATGATCTGGTATCCTGACCCCAAACGATCATCGAAAACTCCACGAAAACCAATCACACTTAAAAGCCAGCCACTTCATACCTCCAGAACCACTGGACAAAAAGATCTGACAACCATATACATACACAACAGATGGTGGATGAATGATTTTTCGTGAGTCCTTTTCCAAGCGGAATCGAATCAATTCTGACCATATCAGAATATGTGAATCAATTTCCGCATCCAATTCAACTGAGAAACGGTAAACTCTGGTCTGGATCTGATTCCTGCCAAAAATAACAGAAAACAGCTAAGATTCTGTAGTCATCAAGCACAGATCTATTCGGTGAATGCCTCAAAACACAGGGATATGAGCTATACCATTATCCTTGTACTGGCGAGTGTTACATGCTAAGCAGCAGTATACCGCCGAGACTTGGAAATCACCTAAGGCATCTACTAGCACCCTCTCACCTACGTATCCTGTAGCACGCTGTCTGACGGAGGCCATCCACTTCTACACGCCCCAACCACTGTTCCCAACACCACCACTCGGCCTGAGTATCAGCCAGCATGCTCTTTAATTTCGATCCACTCTCTGGCCCATAGCCGTATTACCAAACTCTTGTGCCTCGGTTGGGTCACTCTCCACCCCATGACCTAGTGCCCGCGTACTCTGCCCTCGCCGACACATTCCCGTGCCATTCCCAACCGCACCCCAATCTGGGTCCCCGAACCCCGCTCTGGTCTGGGGCGCTGGTCACCCGGCCGCCCTCTGACCTAGGTCGCCGACCTCTCCGACAGACACCATAGCCTCCGAGTCGATTGAGTCGCACGATCCCAGCAGGTGTCGGTCTGCCGGCCGGAGGGCGGCGGCCGCCGCCGCCGCCGGTGCCGGCGCGCTGTCGTCATCGCTGCCGACCCGCTCCGGCGGCGTGCCGCACGGCGTCACGCAGATGCTCGGCGGGCAGGTGGCGGGCTCCAGCTGGAACGGCGGCCGCAGCGGCGACCGCAGAACGGCGGCGGCGGCGTCCGGCTCTCCGTCGCGCTGCTCAGCCGGGCCGCGCCGCGCCGACGAGCGCTGCACCACCGGCTCCGACTCGGCCATGGCCAGCGGCCACCGCGACGGCGCGACGCTCGGCCGGGCTGGCGGCACCTGCCGCGCGGCGCCGGGCGCAGCTCACCGCCGCGCAAGCCAGTCACGCCCGTCCAGAGCCGCCACACCTCGACTTGACGGCGTGTCGCCGGGTCGGCCGCGCACCGTGCGCCGTCGCGCCGGGTGGCACCGCTCACGCACAGCCGTCTCACTGCGCCACACGTCCCGTCCGTCCACGGAGCCGGACACACAGATCCGGTCAGCCGCTCCGGGAGGTGCCGACCCTCCGTCCCGACGCTGCCGGCCGACGGTGACCCGAGCACCGACGACCGGCGCCTTTATACGGCCCGACGGGGCAGCCGGCACCGGCGGCGCGTCGACGGCGACGCACCTGCCGCCGGGTGGGAGGGGCCAGAGGTATCGGCAGGTCCGGGCTGAGCCGGTCCCAGCACCCAGGAAGGTAGGCGACACGCCGGCGAAAAGGTCGGACATGAGGACAAACATGGTAGCAACGCCGCCTTGCCTATTTCCGCGCACACGCCGACGCGGATGACCGGGCAGTTCGTACAAGTCATTCGGAATGTATTCTGAAAGAGTGGTCCAGTGACGCGCGGCGCTGTCCCCTGAGTACCAGCTTCCGCGCGTTGCCCACACCAAGCTGGCGATCGGGCCTGGCACGTGCCAGTCCGGCTTCGGCGCGGAATGCACCACATCAGCATCCGGCAATCTCACCCTACACCGGCACCCCGCAGGTCTTTCGCTGGGGGGGGGGGGAGGGGGGGCGGTCCACGCGTCGCTTATGTCGGATATATGGCGCCGCTGTCACCTATTTATCGAGACGAAACGGAACGGGACGGGACGGGACGGGACGGGACGGGACGGGACGGGACGGGACGGGACGGGACGGGACGGGAGACGGAACGGAACGGAACGGAACGGAACGGAACGGAACAGAATGGGACGGGACGGGGCGGGACGGGACCGGAGACCACGCCGGACCAGGTCAGGTCAGATCCGAGTCATATCAGCTCAGATCAGGTCACCGTCACACCGAGCCAGTCCACTCCAGCCGGACTGCGAGAGGCGTCAGAGCTGCTGGGTGGCGGCCGACATTCGCCGAGCGCCAGCAGTTTGCCGCCAATATGGCACCTGTACCCAGACGACGTGACGTCTGGCCAGCAGCCTTTACATCGCGCCGTCACCACTGATGCTGGTTCCCATTGGTATGGGCCGAGCGCATGAGCCTAAAGCACAACACGCAATATGGGATACTTTTCATTGACAAGTCCGCCTGTAAATCCAGGATCATTTGTCTTTCCCGACTGGCAGACACTCCAATTAGACGCTCCTACAGTGTCACCCCATTAACTTCCCAAGGTTTATCGCCCAACAGCCGCAAAATGGAATGCCTCCTTTCGTATCGTGAGCTGGAACGCCATCAGTGCGCTACTGCCAATGCCAGGAGGGACCAATTACGGACAGCTACGGTTCGGCACCAACATCAACTGACTGATGCCCCGTCCCATTGCAGCGTCGCTACTGACGACGCCAGGAGGGACCAATTACAGACACCTACGGTTCGGCACCAACATCTGCTGACGGATGCCCCGTCCCACTGCAG